ACTTGTTCTTTTTGGCAGTCCATAGGATATTTAGTACTTTTCTTCAGCAACACAATTCAAAGGCATTAACTCTTTTTTCCTCTTTAATCACTGAACTTTTAGATGCATAGCAAGTAATAAAAAAGACCATAGATTAGATCAGGCACATCTTCTATTACTACAGTAATTATAATATTGTAATAGGGTAATCTCTCACATTACTGTTAAGTGTTGTTGAGTATGACTCATAGAGATCCTATAAACAACAGATCTGAACTCTGTCCTATCCTGTGCCATCCATTATGTTCGATACATCTGACTCCATTGTTGCAGACACTATCACTCCATCTTGTTTAAAGTCTTCCTCTCTTTGCTGACCGTTCACCTTTCTAAGCATGATATTCTATTCCAACGAATGGCCTCTCCTAACATGTCCAAAATATGAGACAAAATTTCGTCATCTTTGCCTCCAAAGGAACACTCTTGTTGCACTTTGTCCAAGACATTATCAGTTTGTTCTTTTAGCAGTTCATGGGATATTCAGCACTCTTCTCCAATACTACAAATCAAATGCATCAATTCTTCTATCATCCTTATACACAGTTCAGTTCTCATATGCACAGCAGATGACTGGAAAGACTGTCCCAATAGTGTTTCTCAGTATTGCAACTTGAGACTTGAATGTTTTTCAGTTCTTAAGGTTTGAAAAATGTCAAATGAGTTATCTATACTGTATATTTACTATACAAGAAGAAAAAACCTGGTCCAGGATTGACACACTGCATTTAGCTGAAAATTCTCTTTAGGGTCTGTCACCTAGAACAATTCCTCAGTCACTGTCTTTCATGATCTTTACTTTTTTTGAAGAGAATATGATATTTATTTCACAGATTATGGCTCAGTCTGGGTTTGCTTGATGCTTTTTAGCAGATTCAGGTCACATATTTTTAGCAGGAATACTACAGAAGTGATGCTTTGTCTTTCTCAGTCCATCACATTAGGAAGAATATGACATCTATTTTTTTTCTCTCTATGATAGATAATATTAGTTTTGATCACTTGTTTAAGAATTTTGTCTGCCAGGTTTCTCTTGTAATATTACTATTTTCCCCATTGTAAGGGATAAATATTTTGGGAGACATAGAATTTCCTTCTACTTTTACTGACATTCTAATATAAGGAAAAGCTTTTTCCTTTACCCATTTATTTGTCTTAAGTTCTTATTTTTTGTGTGCTCTAGTGGGTAGGGAGTTGTGCTGCTAACGAAACGGTTGGCAGTTTGAATCCACCAGCAGAATGTTTCTCTGGAGACAGATCGGCATTCTTCTCCCATGAGATTTAAAGCCTCTGAAAATCTGCTGGAAGGTCAGCTTTTAGTTAGTCCTGACTTCTCAGAGAATCCTACAGAGAGATCTAGTGGCAAAATCCCTAAGGAGAAAGCTTTTTTTATGATGAACACAGGGATTTAATCTTTAGAAGGTATCATCATCAATTTTATCCTGTCCAGATTGTACCTTTCTGGCTGTATTTGGCAGTCTCTTTATATTGTAGACTAGGGCTTGTAAGCATGATCCCCATTTGTCTCTTTTGAACTTTATAGCTTTGGGCTTTTCTCCCAGGTCTCTGATCTACCTTGAGTTGATTTTTGTGTATGGTGTGAGATGTGGATTCTGTTTCAGCTTTCCGCAGGAAGCAGTCCAGTTTTTTTTTTCTTTTCTTCTTTTATTATTTTTTGTGCATGTACCATCAAATCAGGTCTGACTG